AGAGTTCTGCCGAGAAAATAACTTACCCTACCTTGTCAACGACTATTTCGATGGTTATGCGTTGAATTTGAAACAATTGGAAAACATCGCACAATTGATGAACTCAAAATCGAATTAGTCAATATTTTATTGATTATTTCGAGATTCTCGTATACAGGGTCCATCTTTCACTGCCTGCTCATGTGATTATGCATTGATTGATTAGATCAAAACATCGAGATAAATATTTCGATGCGTCATGATAACTCGTACATCGCATGAAGTTCAAAGTAGGCGGATTGTCCCAGTGCTGTTAGTCATACTGTATCTGTGGAGTTTTCTCAAGAGTGACTTCGATTTTGGGTATATCTGGCTGCGAAGAAGCAGCGGATGAGTGACGCCCTCGGAAGCGTTTATAGGAGTTTGGTCGAAGTCTGGAGATTAGTGGTCGTATCGATCGTGTCCGTTTTAGCATCGCTTCACCGGAGAAGAACCGATCGATAAAGATCTTCAACGAGTTTTGTGAAGCTGAAAAGTCACATTTGTTAATGTCGTGTCGTCCAAGTGGGTAAGGGTTACTTTCATAGGTTAGATGACCGACGCTCACCTCTTGTTCTCTCTGTCTGCGCTTGTGTGTTAAGTATAGAGACGTAGATGAGCACCAATAGTAAAACTGCGAAAAAATCAATAGCTATGAAAATACGACTCTCACTGGAGTTGGCAAGAGTTAGGAATAAGGGATAAACCACATAACCAATAGAAGAGCCGGATATCAAAATAAATATTCGTTCAGCTGGAACAAACATGATTTTTTTTGAAATTCATTAGATTAATTTTAGAAAATACTGTAGAAAGTAAGATGAATACGACAAAACTGAACAAATGTCGAAATTGAATTTCTCCTTATTGTCTTTGGGTAAGCCACGCCCATTACTCTGCACCACCTACCTGGTAAAGCTAGTGTATGTCGTATATACACTATCAATGATGGTAGTAAGGTTGATATGAAAAATCCAAATATTGCGGATCCAATCAGTAGACCATTTTCAAACGACAGCACACAACAAGCGGCTCCACAGCCTATCTGGAAGCAAAATTCTGTGATTTGCCAATGGATGGGCGGAGTTTATCCACTCACTATGCTAATTCCCATGTAAAAGTAGGGTGCAACCTTGTCGGCAGTGAACATCGCCACAATTCGTCCACAGACTATAAATGCCTATAAAAATAGATGATTATTGATTGATATCGATCAAATATGCTTCATAAGTTCTAACCAAGTACATTTGATACTCCGTGCTTCCGCCTTGATGTGCCAACAACAAAAAAGGAAACAAGTTGTGTAGTACTGTAGCGATGCCTGCCAGTACGGCGCATAGTAGGACGAGCTTTAGCGCGTGGGCTTCTTGGTTAGCGACTGAAGAGCGGATTAACCTAAGAACTGTCAGATTACAACAAATTTGACCTACCACGGTCGATGTCCTCATAATCGGCGCGAGTCCGCTGATCAGGCAAAGGTTCACTCTCGATTTTGTTCGTAAGTAAGAGGTAGATAATGGGTATCTGCAGTTACAGGGTAGTAAGACATAACAAATAGTTCCAACAATAGATATTTTGATTTCGATTGCAGAAATCCTGCCGTGTACATGGTGCAATTGCACTTAATATACCAGATCCGGAAGTTAAACAATTGCAATTAAATATATAGGCGTCTAAAAATTGATTACACTTAGGAGCTAAGGTAATCAATGATCGCTGTACCTTTGAGAA